TCTTTGATACGCTGTTTGAATTCACTAAGTGCGTGCTCATAACCCATCATTAGGAATGCCTCCCTAGAAAAGCCAAGATGTTGGAGTTTTTGTAGAATTGTCCTGGCCCATATTGATTGATAATTGTCCTTAATAAGGAAAGAACTGTTTTTTAACTTTTAATCATATAATTGTAACTGAGTTGTTCCTGTTCTAGGATAATAAGACGACAGTTCTTAAAAAAAATGTTTGTATAAGACATATTTTATTTATTCATAAAATGTATATCTCCTATTTGTGTTTTAATAATCACTGGTTTTTAATTATAATCATGGACTGCAGTGGTTTAAAATTTGACTTCATTTTAATAATTTAATAAATGTTTCTAATCAATTATTACAGTTGCTATAACTATAATAAAATATCACAATAGTAATAAATCAATGCATTATCTCATTATTATTAACAAAGTTTTGTACATGTATATGTTTATAATATCCTGAAAATGTGCCTTCAGATGTGGATGTATTTTATTTAAAATGCACTGTATTTTCCAAGGCTAAACTATCGATACGTATTATATATATTCTTTTTTATGTGAAAAAATTAAGTCATCAATATGCATATTATTTTCTCTAAGATTGATTTACCCTTTTTCCCTTCCCTCCAAAATGTGCGTTTTAGTGAGTCTGAAAGTACAAAAGAGTTAAACTACCAAATAGACAATGGAAACTCATGGTCTGCTAGTCAGAGCTTCACAGGCACCTCCACTGAAGACAGTTCTGTTTTTTCTTGGGGCTATGATGTGAGTATTGTCCTTTAATTTTAAATTATAACATTGATTTGGTTGAATAAGTTTAGATTCTCATAAGAATCTATGTATGCTTTTACACATTGATCTCACAAATGTATTTGTAAGATAGCCTTTACGAATTTTGAAATATTTCTGTTCCTTTTAAAAATCAAAACCAGAATCGAATGACTTTGATAATTATGATTATAATTCCCAAAATTAATTATTTTGTTTTGCATTGGGTTTCTCTCTAAATATTTTTTTCTGATTCTGTAAACCTGGAGATTCCATTGAGCGTATGATGCCTCCATTTATTTTCTCAGTCAGCAGTCACCTATTTAGGTGACTTTATTTTAGATGCTCCTGGAAAGATGTTTGTTGGGCTTTTCTAAAAAAGTAATTTCATTTGTCTGAACAATCTTTTTGCATAGTACTATAAAAAATTAATTTGATCTCTATATTGTAAGAAAAAAGCCTTCTGAGGGCATGATTAATGTCATACATTTTCCCAAGAAACAAGTCAGCATCTTTCCCAACTAATTTTTTGCCTTCCCCTCCCCCCCAGGAATTTGATAAAGCTGCTACACGTCAAGTTCAGCAAATATTCAGACACATTGATGAGCTCCTTTATGAACAAAGAACATGTCTATATGTTGGCCTAGAAGAGGAATGCCAACAATGGATGTCAAGGTTTCCTCATCTCAGGTATCTCAAATATATATTATTACTAGGTACTTCAGTATACTAGAGAACAACTGTGTTATTTGCGTGCTGTTGCTGTTTACATGGGTGGTGCCCTTCGTAGCATGCCAGCTGCTTTTTGGGGTTGCTGCCTTAGCATATTGATTGGATGTTTTTGGTGTTATGTTTAGGCCAGATAATGTTTGACAAGCTAATTCAAAGCAATTAATATTTTATTATTTTCTCTTTAACATCAGGATTGTAGGGAAACAAGTAGTGTTACCCACTGATGAAGGCTATGGATGGTATATTAGTTCAGCCTGCAGCGCTTTAACTTCATCCGACGTGAGTCCCACGCAAGAGAAAGATCCTAGTGAGTAAGTGCCTGCGATCACTAACTCTTCACATGGATTGCAGTTATTATTTCTGACCAACTAAGCCCTTGTCATCTGCAGCAGAAAGTGAACTTTTTAAAATTACAAGCTTTTTTTCATGTTAAGCGGTGAATATTCAACTATTCAGACCATTTATTTTTTTGAGACATTTTCTATACGAACCACTTTTTTGTTAAAAAACAAAACAAAACCGTAGCATCAATAATGCATCCCTTCTACGTATGATCCATATTCCTAACAAGCATTGACATTATTGGCCTGGCTCTAGAAAACCGGGAAACTTCTTTCTTTGCCTGCCTCCTATATTAGAAGGCATACTGGTTTTGAAATTGGAAATAATTTCTCTAGAAGCTATATGCGGAAAAAAAAAACCCCAGTGGAAGTTTAGTTACTGTTTGCAAGTGTGCTGCTCAGAGGAAAACAAGAAACAAAAAATCCCGGGCTAGTATTTAATTTATTGTTTGGATCTGAACTCTTGACAATAATAGTAATTCAAAAATTGATAGAATGGTAGTTGTTGCTCTGCCAATGGATAATCACATGTCATGTACATAGTAATATAGCAGTGGTATAAACAGTCTAATGAATTAATGTAGAGTCTAGCATTGTAGCTACCAGTTTTTCTGACTCCAGTATTTTCAGAATAATCATTTTAATCTCAGCAGAAACTTAGGGTGGGGATGTAAATGCTTTTTGGATAAATTAAGGAAACTGCTCCAGAGGAAGGGAGAGAATAAAGTTGGATTAAGGATAGTTAGAGTATTTTGAGGGTGATAGTTGTCCAAATTAAGTCTGTATGTCCAAAAGCCTAATATTTTCAAAAAAGGCTATGAATAAGTTTTTGTTGCTTTCATATTATGACTGCAGCTAAGCTCACCCTCTCCAGTACAGTTAGAAGGGGAAAAGTAAGATCTTCCATGTGTGAAAAGAATATCAACAGATTCCATTCTTTGTATCCGATTCAGGATTTATTTGTACAGAATTCTTAATGTTGCAAGCTTATACGTACAGGTAGTCCTCATTTAGTGACTGCAGTTGGTGCCAGCGAAATGGCCTCTAAGTGACATGGTCACTAAGCAAACCATGTGACTGAGAGAGAAAGAGAGAGATGCTGCGAAGATTGCTGGTTACTGCTTTCTCATTTAGATAAAGTTCTCTGTATAGTGTCCTGTGCCTGCCCTGTTTTTTCTTTCCCCCCTATTTTTGGCCCCTGGCAGGGTGGAGAGATTGCTTAAAGAAGCTATTTCTACCTGAGCTGCTTTTCTCTGTAGTGCAGCCCTTTCATAAAAAGCACTAACTAAGGTCTGTGACCTTAATTAGTTGATTAGAACTCTCCCTTAGGCTCTGCTGCCTGAAACTGACCACACTTTAATCAGTTTCACACTGAAGGCTTTTGTTGTCATAAATGCCTGCATTAGTTGGAAAAGGAAATTATTTATTTATTATTAATAAAGTTCATTACTGATGTATTTGCGAATGGTCGCTATCCAAGGCAGTCGCTAAATGAGGACTACCTGTACCTTGATTTTGTTTTCAAAATTGTATGGAACTACAATCTTTTGCTTATTTTTAAAACTAATTAGGTAGTGTGCACATTGAAGTACATACACTGTATAGAGCTGTCTGCTTTTCTTCCTTTTTTTCGTTGTATTGAGCCTGAATTGTAACAGTATGTGTGGAGACAATCTTTTTTAATCTGTAAATTGTTTGAGTACTGTTTTCTACAAAAAAGCAGGATATAAAAAGTGTAAATACAAACGATAGATTCTCTGTATATTTGATGTTGAAGAGAATGAAGCTAAACTTTCTTGATTATTGCCATTAAAAAGCCTTGTTTGTTGTTCAGGTTTACTATTTGGGGCAAAAAGGTTCCCCTTTCTGTTTCTCCTATTTGTAAAGAAGATAACTTTTCAAAAATCTCTGAATCGAATTTGTTTGAGAGCGAAGAAGAGGAAGATGGAGTGATTATCTCTGAAGGAATAATGGAGGAATACTTAGCATTTGACCGCAGAGATGTGTAGGTATTGAATACATTTCACAACAACGTATTTAGTGCTAGTGACTTAGAATGGTATCTGTTTGTTCTTAAAAAATATTAAAAAGATATACTGTGAACAGTTATGCTTGCTCCAAACAGGATAAACTTGTATTTTTTTTTTTTAGTTTTGAATAAAATAATTATTCTGTCTTCAGTGTTACTGGTAATAGAAGTTTATTGATTATTTATTTATTTAAAAGATTTATATGGCTGCCCATCTTCAGAACACAACTGGGTGGCTCACAACAACAGTAAAACCCAGAGAATGATAAAAATAAAAACTTGGTGTCTGAGCTATCCTCCTTGGATGCATCCAGCAGAACCATTCCCAAGTTCCCACCTCATCCTATCCCAGCCCTTGGGGGAAGAGTTAGCTCTTTGTGGCCTTCCGGAAGGCTGAAAGGGCTTCTGCAGGACAGGGGCTGCTATGGAAAAGGCAGGTAGTTTTGTAATGTGCATTATCAACTTTCTTTGCCCTCAATGTCATGAGATGATTTGAGTGAGAGAGAGGAAGGGTGTGTATGCTTAACAGAGATGGGAAATTTACTGAACATCAGGGATTGCAATTTAGAAATGTATGAGGAACTGCTCATGTATAGTATATTTTACACCTACATAATTTAAATAAATAACTCCCACTATGGCAGATCGAATGCTAATTCAGTATAGCTTTTTTAAAAAAAGTTGTTTAACTTATTTCTCAAACTTATTTCTCATTTTGCAACAACTGCAAGTTCTAGTCATTTTTTCAGGGATAGCTTGACCTAGAGTGTGTTGCAGTAGTTGAGCTGGGATGTAATCAAGATGTGGATGACTGCCATATTCAGATGGCTGGCTGTGCCCCTTGTCACAACCACCACTTGCAAATTCAGCAACTGCTGAAGATCAAGGACTGCTCTTGGACAGCAGGACTTTCTTTTAGGGGATTGCAACTCATCCAAAGCAGGCAGTCTCTGAATTCACTTGCTTATTTACCTGCATTATTTCTGACTTAACTTGGAACAGTTTGGTTTTCCTCACTGGGAAACCAATACTGAAATTCACCATTCAATTGCTTTGTTGGAATTGGATGGTAAGGGGCAGTAGATATTGTCTAGCAACAAAGCCTGTTATGTTTTCCTTTGGTGATTGCGTAACTTGCTCTTCCCCCATTAGAGATGTATTAACAGCGTGGGAGGCTAATAAAGGCAGGGATTCAATCAGATGGATTGATCCCTCATGTAAAGTAGACAAGAGCTCTAATAGTTGTTTTTCAGTTTCTGTTTCCAAATCCCAATTCAATATATCATAACTATTAGAGGTAGAGATAGAATGGAGAGGATTTGTTACTATTTTTACTCACAGTTTTCGACCATCGTGTAGTCATCAATTTTTGGCTACTTTGTTGACTTAAGTAGAGTCTGTGAGCCTGGACTTGTCCTGTTGCATTTCTTCTTCTTCCCCATTGCTTCAGTGTTGACATATCGTACCTGAAAACTTTATGACATTTTAGGGGCTTGGGGTTTAGATTTAAATATCTCTCACAGAGAATGTCTTTATTATATAAAACAGGATAAAAATTAAGGATGTATAGCTAAGCTGTTTGTAAAAACAGATAAAATATAAGGAGCAAAGCAAGGAAATTGCTGCTTCATTGCCATCATAACCCTGCCCCAGCAGTAGAATTAGGTGTCATCAGTTTACTAACACCATCTCACTCTAAAGATCCAAATGACCCCCCGCTAGCAGTTTCATGTAGATACTAAACAGACTTAGGGACAAGATGAAGCTCTGTGGGAACCTGTAAGTCAATAGTTTAAGTATTGAACAGCTGTAATATTTACATGCTTTTTTCAAAGGGAAGAAGAGTTGCATGAATGGAAAATGGGACTTTCACCAGACAGACGGAAATTAGGGTTTCCTCCAATCTCGCCATCATGCTGCATGAGAGATGCTGTTCTTTCCTTTGTATTTGATGATGTGTGGAGCGAAGTCTTAGGCTATATGGAGCAGTTAATCTGCAGACACTGGGAAGGTCCAACCTCAGGTTTGTCTTTAGGCTGCAATTTTATCTGTATAATGGATGTCTCTTCCAAAGCTCTTTCCCAAAATGTACTTTTAATACAAATATAGCATTAGTAAGTATGTGCTTTTGTAATATCTCATGGGCCTGAATACAGTTTGAATACAGTAAATCATATTTTAAGAAGGTATTTGACAGTGTTCAACAGCTGTTACAACAGTATTGGGCTTTCTGATGCTATATTTGGGCCTTTCTTATCTCTAATAATGCTTAGTATTAATGTTTTAAGCTATGCTTGTCAAATTCATTTTATTTATTTACCATCCTTCTAAACTTTTATTGGGCTAGAACTGTCTCTGCATTTTCCTTTGAAGATGGTTCTGCTCACAAAGCAGGGTAGTGTTACATTTTGAATCCCAGATGTCAAATCTAACTGGAGCCTATCTTCAAACTCTTGTCACCCTTGTTCTACCTCTGCCAGAATTACATAAAATGTCTGTAGTGTCAACCTGCAAGAAATAGTTCTCTTATGAAAGTAAACAGGTGCTTCTAGGGATGTGCACAAATTTATGCACAAATCATTCCATATATTGAGCAGCTGCTTTTGAGTGGTTTACAGCTGAACCAAAACATGAAAGTTTGGCCTGGATACGGAATGAAATGGGGCTGCTTTGTTCTGGATTTGAACTAAAATGAGGTTGTTCTGGACCAAAGTGTTTCGGGTGTGGGAAGAGTGGGAAAAAGCCAAGGATATTGGTGATGGAGGCAAGATGGAGGGAAAGGAAGGCTCTGGGAAGAGAAGGGGGTGAGCACACTAGTGGGATATGCTGTGCTGGGACACTGGTGGTAGTGGCTGAGGAGACAGAAAGGAGAAGAGGTGCTAGGAAAATGGGGGTGGGTAGGAAGGCCAGTGGGATATCCCATGATGGGGCTTTGATAGTGGCAACTGAGGGGAAGCAGGAAAGTAAAGCGAGGAGGGAGGCAGGCACTGGAGATCAGAGGATGAAATATGCTGGGAGAGAAAGAGGGAGCGACTCACAACAGACTTGTCCAACCCGCTTGTGAAATCATTCCGGGATCCTTGGAGGTTTCATTTCAGCTGAAGAACAAAACCACACGTGCAGTCTGGGTTTTGTTTCTGCTGAATCGTGCCCCAGCTGGAACGTTTCAGCAGAACTTCTGGAATGAGATGCGTTTGTTTGGGACTAGAAAGAAAACGCAGATTCCATTTAGCGTACGCCCTAGCTGTTTCTGTGAAGGTCTGGATTAGGTGCTTAAAATATGAGAAGGAACCTATGTTGTACCCTTGAGATCTCATTATTTCATTTTGTAAGCGGCTGTGTTCTTACAACTTCTCATAATAGGGGGCTTTGAAAAAAGTAACTATAAAAATACTTAGTGCATTATTGATTCCAAATCAAATTTACCAAGAATATCATGCTATATTTAATTTTTTAAAATCTATTGATACTTGTTAAATTATCAAGTATTAAATAAGTATTAAATTATCAAGTGTTAAATCGATCAAGCATTGCTGTAGCTCTTTAAGCAATTAAATATCTTAATATCTGAAAATCTTGCTTATGAGGATCTCAGTCAAATAATGCCTACTGTTGTCATTTGTTTGGATATTGGTAGATGATGAGAAGAATGTCATTTCTGTAGAGGCAAACAGGACAGATTCAGGAAGTCCTTTTATGCAGTTTGAACCTTTGCCTTTGGTATTACCTCGAATGCCACAGACCAAGATGCCCTCTATCCCTTCAAATCTGGTAAGTTTAATAAGTATCATGGTTTGTACCAGAGCTGAGACACGAAATGATGTCTCATTTAGGCAATGATAGTTGTCATGCTTATTGCCTAAACAGTAGAATTTGCAATGCCTTGACAAACTGTCCTTCCAAAACGTTTTTTTTGTCATGCATTATCCCAACTTTTAGAATTCTTTTTCTTGTGTTGAAAATGTTCTTTTTTTATATTTTGAGAAGATTGAAGTATACAGAGTTGGAATACAAGCATTTAGTTTCTTTAAGAGTACTATGTGAGATTTTGATTAACCATAGGAGATGTTAACTCTGATACTACCCAGCCTAACAGAGATCAGAGAGGAATGTGATTTCTCTAATTTAAAGTTAACCCACATGGTTTTTAAAATAGATTCTAATTCTTGCTGTGCATACTCTGCATGTGAGTAGATCCTGTAATAGTATTGTATCCAATTTGTGTTTGATCTCTTTAATTCAGCTTGTTTCCTTTTTTAATTCTTTCTCTTTCATTTCCCATACAGTCCTCATGTATACCTTATCATACAGTATGGTACTCAAAAGGCGGATACAGCCAGCCCCAGTTGCTTGTCAAATGCCCATTCTTGGGATTGAGCTGAGAGTACTTACAGAGTAGAACTTAACGGTTTTATTATAGTATTTACTTACAAAGGTGGCATAAAAAATCTGAGCTTAAACTATTCATTTATGTTACATTTACTTAAATGCTTCAGATAAATTAGTGCCTTGTTTGTGAAGTTTTATTATAAAACTTCATTTATTATAAATATTATTTATTTCTTCCAAAATGAAAGCATTTTCTGTCTATCTTTGTGGCTTATTGCGTGATATTTGGGAACAGTTGCTTTACAAGTATAAAAAATAATGTCGTCTTTTCTTACCTTTTTTAGTAAAAATGGCCACTGGGAACGAACTTTTGTTGTTGTTGTTGTTTAATTGTGACCTAATTTAATTTCTTGTAATCTACAGGTAAATATTTCTCAAAGTACAAGTGCTGGCCCACAACGTAATTTGAATGGCTTGATGGTAATTCATGGGATTCCCTTGCATCAAAGGAACTTGCCCTTGATGGACAAAATATTGTAAGTTTTAACAAGAATGTGTTTGTTCTGCGTAAAGTTGGCTTTCCAATTATAGAGATGAATCTGAAGTATTCAGAGTTCGATTTTTGTTCAGACAGAGGTCAATTTTAGAGTTGACCTTTGAATATTTTTTCTTCTTGCATCCTATGGAAGTAGAATACATCTGCAAATAATTAGTCAGGTAACTAGTTAAAACTTGTCTAATTTTAAAGCCTTTTTATATTAGATTGTACTAAACCAGTAAGAATGTGAGATGGTTTAGTTTAAACACATGATTTATTATGTTATAGAATTGGGATCCTTATTTATAATATGCTTTAATAAAGATAGTTGATTAAAATATAACTAGATGGTTATAAGTAACAGTAGCTAAAATTTAAATACAGGGATAAAATGGTAAGAGATCATGTAAAGATAAGGATTCCCTTGCATCAGGCTTGATTCCTGGTGGCTATATGGATGTACCCATATAGTTTTCTTGGCAACAATACAGAAGGGAGTTATCATGGTTGTCTTCTAGGATGTTATGTCAACTTTCCAGTCTTGTCTATAACTTGGGGTTTCTTGGTGATCTTCCATCCAAGCTCCAGCTAGGTTTGATGTTGCTTAGCTTTATGATCAGCCAACATCAGGTAGGCTTTGCTACTTGGTATGCCATAAAACAGAAACCATGAACAGTAAACACCACCATTCAGTCTCACTAATCCAAAAATAGAAAATATCCGACATCATAAATAATTTTTCATCAACTTTGTAAAAATGTGTATACATTAGATTTTTGTGGATATCCATTAAGCGTAGGTGGAACTGACAGTTTTCCACTCCTGGCTAGGAGCAGAGTGCTGTTTCTTGAGCAAACCTGTGGAACAAACTTACTGATGTTATTTTGAAACAAACAAACAATTTGTATGTGTATGTATGTATGCATGAGTGGGCGTGTATGTCTGTGTGTCTGTGTATTTCAATTTGTATGGCCGCCCATCTCAACAAGTGACATCTCAACATACACTGAACTCAATAAGATTTTAAATTTTTTAGTTAATATGTAATGGGTCAGTGTCATGGTAGCTAAGCCAGAATAGGCTCTGATTAACATCTTTTTGCTTGTAATACTGTCTTAGTTTGAACAGAACAAAATTTGTCAGCAGTTTACACCTGTATGCTTCATGGAGCAGAAAGATGATTAATTTGTAATGATAGACAGTTTTCATCCTATATCTAGATAATTTACCCAAATAGTATGAAAGTTGATTAATAGTTCATTATATTCTTGTGCTGTTTCTCTCTCTCTTGGTTTTAGAGATTACGATGAAAGATTGCTTCTGAGACCAGGATCCAGTTCTATCTTGTCAACCAGAGCTCGGCCAAATCGTCCCCTTGAGCTCAGTACATCTTCGCTGTCCTATTCTGCACAGTCTGCTAGAAGGCGTAACCCACCACCACGTATCCTGCATCCTATCAATGCCAGCCATTCTCGCTCAGGAACCCCAAGACCCATAGATGAAGTCATCAGGGGAACTCGACTGTATGTTGATACATAAAATTAATTGAATCCCTTCCTCTCCTAGTATTATTGATTGATTGATCTGGTAAATGTATGTAGCTGCCCATCTCACAGACGTGACCCTGAATGGCACAAAGTTATAAAACACAAAATGATACCAAATAGAGCCAACCCCCCCCCAGCAAATATAATTAAAAAACATTAAAAACAATAAAAACCATAACAAAACCCATTATGGAATCAAGATTTGTGGAAATCAGAAATGAGGCAGATGAACAGACAATCAAACATGAGAAAATAGTAGCTGTATTGACCTTAGGAATAAAAACTAACAATCAATATTGAGGCATTACTTTTATTAGGCCAGTTGAAGATCTACAAAATAATTGTAAGCTTTCCATATTCCAAGAATTACTGATCAGGCAACCAGATTAAAAATCTAGGAAAAAAGGGGGGAAATGTGACTGTAACTTGAGCCATGTCTGTAGGGTAGCATTTTGAAGTGAATTGGAAGAGAGGAATTGGTACCAGGGTGACCCAGGTTCAAGTATCTCCTTAGCTACAGAGGTTAACTTAGTGACTTTGGACCAGTCTCTCTTTCAGCAAAACATACCACACGGGATTATTATTGTTTAGAAAACTAGGAGGAGGAAGCGCTGTGTATATCGTCTTCTGCTCTGAACAAAGGGCAAGATAGAAATCAAATAAGTAAAAGCAACCATGTCATTACTTAGTTATGAAATTAAAAATGAGGGTGCTAAGTTTCCTGTAGAGCAGTGTTTCTCAGCCTTGATAACTTTAAGATGAGTGGACTTCAACTCCACACATCTTAAAGTTGCCAAGGTTCAGAAACACTGCTGTAGATAAATGATCATTATGCTTTTTACATATAATTTTGTTCTTACGTTAGGGGGAAAATTGGTTATGACCATTTTGTATTACAATTTAATGTAATACTAGAAAGAAACCTTGATAAAATCATGGTAGGCTCTCCATTTCTCATCTCCACTGGAATGCACCTAATGTGGAGTTTACTACTTGCTTAGTCTCATCAGCTCCCAGGCCATCAGGCAAATACTGCTTCAATTTGCATTTCATATAGTACTTAATTTATCATATAAAGAAGTTCATGTCAGCCTTGCCATTTCTAGTAGAACTGGACAGTTTGTAGTAATTGCTGTTTTTTTTTTCCAGCTCTGCTGCAAATGAGCAGCTGTCATCAACTTCTCCAATGCCATTAAGCAGAAATAATCTCCTGCCTCCTATTAGTACCATAGAAGGGACAGAACATGTAGCATTCCAAAAACAAATGGTAAGTCAGCTGCTTTTTTTTAATTTTTAGTTTCATGCTTCACCTGTAGATTGTCTCCAGTTAAAAAAAATCTTTAGAACATAACATTTTAAAATTAAAACTCTGCCCCACATATACTGTAAATACAAAACAGTGATTTGTTTTGAGTTTGTGGGTGTATTTATTTGTTTATTTATTAAATATATTTATGTGGTGGTTCACCTCAACCAGTGTAACTTTGGGTGGTGAATAGAAAAATTAAATCACATAACAACAGCCATCATTTAAAAACATAGTTGAGGCACCCTGCAAAATTTTTCAACAACATATGGCTAAAAAGTTTTCAGAAAGCATAAACTAAAACACACACAGGCCAGGCTGCTTCTTTAAAACACATGTTTTTACAATTCCCTATACTTACTAATTTTGGGGAGAAAGTAGTGGACCATATAAATGTGACTGTGTGACAAAAGCCAAAATTTTCAGAGGATAATATTCTTTTGAATTACATACCAAGTACGTGGAACTTGACAACTGGATAACGTAAATGGATCTCTGTGCTCTTACTATGGCTAAAAGACTGATACTACAGTATTGGAAAGTTAAATGTATGGCCCCATTTAGTCAATGAATTGAAGACCTGATTGCGCTTGCCACTTATGAGCTGATTGCCTATAGACGTAGACTTTGTATGGACAAGTATAATGAAGTATGGGATTCATTTATACAAAATACAGTAGGAAAAAAAAATAGTCAAATAAATGTATTAGAAATATATGCGTACTTGAATAATATTTGCATGAGATAAGTGTATGTAAAATTGTAACTGTTTATATTATAATGACATACTGTTTTTTTTCTTGTACTTGTTTCACTTTTTTGTAAAGCACTTTTTATGTTTTTTTTCTCTTTGACAGTTGTATGTATCTCCATCATTATTAGCATTGTGTTTTGCTCTTTTTTTTTCTTTTTTGTTATTAATTAAAAGCCATTAAAATAAATGAATAAATAAAGTATCCTGGCCCTAATGCCTGAGAGAGAAGCCAAGTCTTCAAGGCTTCTGGAAGGCCAGCAGTACTTGTGTGTGTCAGTGTAGAACAGTGTTTCTCAAATTTGGCAACTGTAAGATGTGTGGACTTAGCCATGCTAAGTGCAGAATTCTGGGGGTTGAAGTTCATACATCTTAAAATTGCCAAGGTTTAGAAACACTGGCCTAGAAGCACAAACAAGCATTGGGTTGATCAAGGAAGAGTAAAGGCTGCTCTTTCTTCTAACTGTTTATGCTAAATTGTCTAAATCATTGATTACTACTCTTACAGATCTTGAGTGCTTTATCTTGAACCCAGATGGCTTACTTAACTCAGGGCAAAAAGTCTGGGTTTGCTAGGTATTTCAGTCTGGCTTTTTTTTTTTTTAATTTCCCCATTGAAAACAGTAGAGAGAGGACACAGTAAATAGCCAGAATAGTTCCAGAGTGACATAGCTAAGGTGCCTGCTCCAGGACTGTTGTAAAATGAAGTAGATTTAGATTCAGCAAAACTAAAGCACATCCCAGACTTCCAGAATGTCCTGTTTCAATGTCATATATTGTGATAATTGAGGGTACCTTCTGAGCATCTTGCCCCGCCCACTATCCAGTTGCAAGCTATGCTGTCTCTTATCTGACCGTTCCCTTGGCAGCATTTCTTGGCTCAGTCTCCCAGGGTCTTTCCCACATACCATCATATATATTATCTGCATTATTGTTGAGAGGAATGCCACTGGTGGTGGCTTTCTGCAGGGAAAACTGCACTAGTCGGGTTGACAAAGCCCATCTCCCAGCACACCTATTTTCTATTGGTCAGGTCTTCTTCCCCATCCTAACTTCTGAAAAATAAATGATTAACTTTCTGAATAAGAGTTTGGTGGAAAGAGGTATTTGAGCCTAGAGAACAGTTTTTAGTTTTGTTTACTATACGTAAAGTTTGCATGAACAGAGTATGGTAGCGACTGATTCTGGAGTCAGACAGTTAGATGCTACCACCGGCATAATGCCCATAATGTAAGGCTTTTCTCTAAGCTGCCTCCATGGACTTATGGAAGGGAATTTTCCATTAGTAGCTTTCAGGTTTTTGTACAAATAACTCATTGAAATATGCTAATAAGAATCTACAATAATGGGATGCACAATCCTTGAGAGATGCTGTAGGAGGTAAATGATCTAGAAACTGAACAATGTTGATATTGTTTGTGAATTAGGTAGAGTTCATCTCAACTGTCCAGTGAGGCTGATTGCTGTGACTCATGACAACATTTGCATTATGTGTACAGAAACTTTCAACTTTTCTCTTTCTATATGGAAATATAATATCTCTTAAATAAGACCTTCTAAACTTTGTAGGTGTCACTGAACCTGGGCAAAGGTAGTAGACAGATAACCACAACAGCTGTATCCCAAATTCTAGATTTTAGGTTAAATCCAGACTTAGGGAACTGGTAGGAAAGTTGCATGAAATATTCCTATGTATCCTCTCTTCAGCCAGGCATCTGGGAGCTAGAACTGCTCTATATATTCAATGCTTATTTCCAAACTTTTAAATAGCTCTTCTAGTTATAAAACCAATTCTCTTTTGTTATGTTGCAGAAATCCTGGGGAAATGCTAGTCGGGCTCGTAGTGCAATAGCAGATGAAATTAACCATCAACCAGTACATGAGAGATTTTTATTACCTGACAGTTTCTCCAGGCCTAATACATCACATGCATTTTGGGTAAGGTGTATCAAAATTGCATTCATACTAGAATACAAAGTTCCTTCTTTTTGGGACCTCTCAGGAAAATACCAAGATACATAGGTTGTTGGAGGTCTAAAGGGAAAATATGTTGGCTGAAGTACAAATATATCTCTGGAACTTACCAGGAAAGGTCCTAGATCAAGCAGAGAGATTTACTTGCATCCAAATAAATACATATGTGTTCCCTTTAGAGAAAAACTTGTAGACCGACCTCAGTGAATACTATGTGCAGTAACGATGGGTGGGAACCAAGAAGTTTCTGCTGAATTCTGCAGCATGATTATGTCTGCTGTATATGTTGGGCTTGTATGATTTGGTCCAGGACGTGATATAATAATTTTATTTGAACTTTTTAGCCAGAATCACAATATCGTCGTTCTTGCACTGTTATTGATTATGCTAATCAGCCACGAAATAGTAAAGGATCTGCTGGTACAGGTATGTTGATGATTGAATACTTATTCAATTATAAATGACTGTTTAATGTAGAGCAACTAACACAGCCACTTTTATTAAAATCTTTAATTTGAAATCTTTATTATTCTACAGATCCTGTCAATGTAGGTGTAATGGGAGCCAGTTTAGGGATATCTAGCTCTTCCTATATTAATTCTTTCCACCATCAGCCTCTTGGTCATTTTCTTGATGAAGATGAGGAGGACAAAGAAGATCATCCTCCACAGGGTAAGAAGTAAAGAAACAGATTTGGAAATGTACATCATCTGTTTGGTTGCAAGTCATAAAACATTTGGCATTTTTTGAAATGTGTTTTGTCATTTTTGCCTAGAGTTTATTTATTAATCTGGAATAACATTTTAAATCTTATTTTACCGTTTTGATAATTCAGGATACACTCCAGGGTTTGTTCCAACTCATTCAGTCTAACAAAAGATGATAGCAGCCAAATCCTATCAAGGTGATTTCAGAAAGACAAATCGTAACCCATCCTGCTGGGTTATGCCACTTGAAAGAATAAAGCCACTGACAGATGATAGTTAGACTTAGCTCAATCAATAGAACCTTAATATCTGAAACGATTCTTATTCAAACACAACCGGGTCTGGTTTTAATTCTTGACAAAATGCAACCATGTAATTTTGCAGAGAAACCTACATGATTTTCCACTCTGACTTGGTTCATGCAAGATGTGCACTTGCCCAAGAGGTGATACAGATGCATTCTTGAAGAATCTACAACAGATTTATTGTCTCAATGTCTTGCAGGCAGTAATGAAGTTTTTTACAGGTACAAAGTAGACTTGAGTTGTATAGTTGCTTTCAAGCCTTATCTCATTCTTGCTTAGTAGGTCTTCAGTTATATGGTTCTGTAAGAACTCACAGTCGAACTGGATCAAGAAGTAGACAGGGATTGTAAGACATTAGGAGAAAGAGCCATCCATCTCCAAGATGAGGGAGAATCTACTGAAGCTTTTAAAAGAAGTATTCAACTACAGCAATATCAAATCCGTTTACAGAAGAATCTGAAATCTTTCTTTACAAGAGTCTTATTTTTGTATAACAACTGCCAAAGACTGTTGTATTGGAATTTTGTGCCAGCAGAACTGTCATGCTATTTTATGGGGCACTAAAAGTTTGTGTTCTGTTGAACTCCAGTATCATACTGTTGGTATGTTCTGTTACAAAATGTCTGGCTTAAGGACGCAGTGGCAATATTGGTTAAGATTCAATGACTTGCTAGTTATTGATACTTAATAGCAATATGCTTAGCAATATCATTTATAATGGTATTAAATTTGATTATTGCTTGGCCTGCACTTCCAGTAGTTTCCCTAAATGTTTAGACAGTTGAAGGTTGTCATTGCTAGTTCACATATTCACATATTTGGAAAAAGCTGATATTTGAAAGGTGGCCAGGATTAAACACAGTATATTTGAATTTATTAATATATTTAAATGGAGGATACCATTATTTCCCAATTAAATCCATACATGTTTAACCACTTTAATAACTTAACTTTGGCTAAGATTGTAAGGAACTGCTTTGGTTGTGTATTCTTCAACTGCACTCAATACATAATATCTCTTTTAAGTAAATGAGAAAGTTTGGTGAAAACCTATAAGAAATTTTTTCACCGTGCAGTCAAATTCAACCATTTAGGGTTTTCTCTTTGGGAAGAGATAATACTTTCTACATTTTGTAGGAGACAAGCCTGGTGAGATATGTTAATTTAGAAATAGATAAAGCATAGCAACACTGAATATTGTGTTTAATGTCTAATATAATTTTAATGTAATTCAACAAAGACTGACTAGTAAGATGAACTAGTAATTGTCAGCCATTAACTGCTGAAGCTATATGTAAAGTAAAGGTAACTTTGCATTTTCCCTGATACCATGTGAGAGATGTAAAAGATCCAAGATAGGGAAAGAGTCTTATTAAGTTGTAAAATGGAGTATCTTTTCTATGCAAATAAAAATATTTTCTAGATTGTATTTGAGTTGAAATTAAATATCATGGTTGGGGCCTATCTCCTGGATTTAGAAATGGTGACTTCTTGAAACTAATTTCCAGAATATTTTTATATTTTTCATTCTATTTTTTTTTTTCACCAAAGAGCTCAATGTGGATAAGTGTGCTATGTAGTTTTAACTTCATGGCAACCCTGTGTAACAGGGCAGGCTGAGAACAGCTAGCTCAGGGACACCCAGAAAAGTTAGCGTTTATTTATTTGGTAAATTTATATACCCACCCATCTCACTTATGTGACTCTGAGCAGCATACAAAGTTAAAAACACAAAACAATGCAACAAAATAACCAAAAACATAACAAAAATAATTTAAAATTATTAAAAAACAAACCATAGTTTGCAGGAGCACACACTTAATTTCCCTAGCAACACAGCCACTTTGTAGGCTCCGTGTTACCAGATCCCCAGGCCAGATGGCAAAGCCATGTTTTCAGACCCTTCTAGAAGGCCAGCAAGGTTGGGGCCAATCAGACCTCAGGGGGAATGATGCTCCAAAGGGCAGGTGCCGCAGCAGAAAAGACTCTCCTCCTGGGACCCATCAAATGACATTCCTTCGTGGATGGGGTCCCTAACATGCCCTTCCTGCCAGACCTGATGGGATGGGTAGATGTGATTGGGAAGAGGTGACCCCTCAAATATATTCGATCTCTTTAATGTAATGTTACATATGAACATGGTTAAAGAATGTTTGGGACTCTTCATACCCTTACTCAAGTTTGCTCCTTTAGTAACTACATCAATATTGTCTAATTTTCTGCTAGAACCATCAGGGCATTTCCATCTGTTGGGATTGTGCCTCCCATGCAATAAAGCAGCAGGATAAGCTGCCCTCTCAGATCTCCTGAAGAAGGCCTGACCTCCCCAGTCATGCCTAACCAAAAAAAAAAAAAAAATAGCTTTGTGTTCTACAGCAAATAATCAAGCTATTTCCCCCTCTGTTTCTTCTTCCCTTCTTCCTCTGTTGCCATATCCTAGTTAGAAAATGTTATGGGCAAGAACATGTTATGGGGGTTATTTCATGGCATTTCTGGAGGCTTCCTTTTACTTCAAGACCAGAACAGGAAAACTGGGCATAGATCACATTATTTAGTGGTAGTCTTTTTGGATTTTATCAAGTTCTCGCTTGCAGTTTTCCTCATTTTGATCCCTAAACTCCCTTTTCTGAGCTGTGCATGCTGGTTTATTTCACTCCTCACACACAAACATATGCATCAGTTTGCTTAGGAAGACCAAACTGCCTGAATGACATGATAAAGCAGAATTGCGTCTCCTATCAAGAAATAAAAGCTGATTTTTTTTTTCACTAAGGGACAGTAAGAGAATGGCGAAGTTCATGCACAATACTAACCCACTCTTTCAACTATAGTTTCCTGAGGAAGTCAGACTGGGTTTCATACAATGCACTAAGCCATAAATCTTTTGCTGCCTATGAATTGCACTGCACTTCTTTAGCTAAAAGCTACTGTGGATGGGGTAACGGTGCAGCTGGTTGAGGAACATCATGGATGCAGATACTCTCTTAAGAAATGGAAGAATGTCTGTTTTTTAGAATTTATCAAAACTGTTTTTGTGCTTCCTGTCTCTCAAAGGTTAGAAAATCTTGCCATTGAAATTCAATTAGTGCCATCAGATTGATTACAGCCCTGGGACTGTAGGACAATTGGATCTATGCACGTAAACCCTCTTGTTTTCCTCTCCATATTTGATGTTTCTCCATTTCTTCTGTTCCCAGGCCAGGGGTTAGTGTATTTGTGGAGCTCCTGTCATATTTTTTGATTATGGTTTTTTTAATCTGAGCTGTCATGTTTTGCTGCCATTATATATTCTGATGTTGTAGACAACCCAGTCTTTTAGATTGGGCGGCCATAATAAATTTAATTAACTGATTCTGTTTAAAAATCAGATGAATCTCTATGTTCAAAGCAGTACGTGTCATTGGAATTGTAATGCAAATGCTCACACTTGCTGTATTTTGGAAAGCTGACTTCATTTTGAGCAGCTGATCTGTTGATTATGCAGTCTGCCAGTGCCTTCTTTGCTTTTAGAACAGCTTACTCCTATGTTGCTCTCAGCCTGCAGTGATTATCTTAACAGTAAGTTTTGCCTTGTGTTTGTAATTTATCAAGCTTGCTGGGCATTTACTGTGTGAGTGAAAAGAACTAGATTGACTAAATTACTGACAGGTGAATACACATTTCCCAGATTACAAGTTACTTAACTGCCTGGGAGGGAGCAATCTACCCACCTGCCCTTAGGCCAGGCAGGCTAACCTATAGAGGCTGGGGGCTGTAATTGAGGAGTACGAAAGCAGGGCAAGGGTTCCCGTGAACGATTTGGCACATTTATAACAGGATGTTGGTTGAGATGTGATGTGTGTGAGAGAGAGACAGACACACATACATACACACATTTCCTGTCCCAGCCAATTTGGGTTTGAGCATGGCAAGCCAGTTGGAAATGGGTTTTGCCACAGCTAACATCTCTTCCAGAGTGGAATTTTAGAGGTAAGATACTGAAAGACTGATCCCCATCTGTAATCCTATATAAGCCAGAATGAAAATGCACATTCTTCTTTACATCAAATATATCCAGAGAATTCAAAGAATTGTCACAAGCACTGATATATCTGCATATTAATTGCTTTTAAGAAATGTTTTCCCCCAGAACTCTATCTTGCTATGTTAACATTAAAATTTCAGTTCATGCAGCATTGATGAAATTGGTTTGTAGAGTTGTCAGAAATATTAATATATAGTTCTTATGTATACAGGTAGTATTGTGATAATAGTTTACCTATTGTATCTGTGAAAAGTTGACTTAATATTTTATTTCAAAGAAGTGTTTCCAAATATCTGTAAGTTTCACCTACAATAATGTTTTTAGTATACTTCTGAAAAATACATTTAAGTTTAAGTTTATTTTTTTAATTTTAAAGAGGGATTTACATTCAACTCTACATATGAACAATATTATTCTACATAAATATAGTAAGGTTTTGATCAAGTTTTCTGTACAGAAGGGCTTCTCTTCCAAGTGTTCAAAGCTATTTTACTGGAAATTTGTTAATTGTACCTAAAATCCTATAGCATTTTCATAGTATTTTTTGTTTTACATCAGTTAATTGCTGAAGGTGTACTGTATTAGTGGTAAATGAAGAACATTTATAAAATCAGTCATTTTTTAGCTGTTGTTTTCTTTCCTCCTTTTTTGGATTTGTTTCCATACTTTGCTTCCATCTGAGCCAGAAAATCATCCATTTCCTTTTTTCGACTATCAACTCTGCTCTGTTAAATGGAATAAAAACAGGTTGGTTAAATATGTTAAAAAATATTTTACTAGCTTCTACAGGTAGTCCTTGCTTAACGACCATTCATTCAGCGGCTGTTTGAAGTTACGGTGGTATTGAATGAAGGGATTTATGACCAGTCCCTGAAGTTACAGCCACTACAGCGCCCCCATGGTCAACATTTTGGTGCTTGGCAGCCCACCTGCACTTACAATCACAGGGACGCTTCAATTCCCCCCACCTGCATACCTTCCCATCTATGCCTTTTTGTCCTCTGCATTCCATGGCCCCTGCCGCCCTGGCTGACCTTCACTGTCTTCTTGCTCCTGCTGCTGACGAAGCATGCCCAGCCTGGCCCTTCGCGAGTTAACCACTGGCTGCACAAGACTTTCTTCCCCAGATCATGCACAGCAGTTTCCTGAGAGACCTCGGGAAGACAGCCTTGCATGACCAGCAGCTGCCTTGCAAAGGGCCAGGGTGGGCAGCCTCGTCAGCAGCGGGAGCAAGAAGATGGCAAAGGTCAGCTGGGGCAGCAGAGGGCAGGGTGGTGTGAGCGACTGCGGTTGGGACTGGGCTGTGGTTTCCCAGGGTGCTGCAGCTTTCTGCCACGCTGCTGGGGCAGCTGAGGCTTCCAGGAGCAGCTCTGGCTTTGCACTGTGGCTCAGGGGCTTCTTGAGTTGCTTGCTGCCCCTCAAAAGGCAGGGTGCAGGGCAGCCAAAAGGGCAGAGAAGGGGTGGAATAGGCAGTTACCGGATGCTGAAGTGGAGACAGTCCCTTACCGCCAATGAACCGAGGTTTGGGGCTGGGAGGGACCAAGCCCGGAATGGCTTGGATTGGGGTGGGTTCTTGGCTAATGACCAGTGGAATTCAGTTAACGATGGCAATAGGGAGTGCTGTGATTGCCATTGCTAAGCGATACAATCACATGACATCACACTTTATGACCACATCTCTTAGTGATGGAAATTCCAGTCCCAATTACCATTGTAACTCGAGGACTACCTGTATTATAAAAGGCATTACAGCCACTCCTCATTTAGCAACTACCTCAGCGACCATTTGCAAATATGGTAATAAACAATACTAAAAAATTAATTTTCTGACCAATGCACACACGACCAAATTTTTGCACCTGATAACAACGCATGCCAGAGTGAGAGTAACGCTGGCATACTACATGAGAAAACTTTATCTGAGATGGCACAGCATTTCAGTCACATGTTCGCTTAGCTACCGTTTACTTTAATGATAAAGTTAATGGAACATTGCCATCACTAAATGAGAAGAGGGTGTACAATTCATCAAAATAATTCAGAAGCTGTACAATAGTATAATATATGTTAAAGTATTTAAAATAATGTATGCAGAATTAAAATAAGATTGTTGAAAGAATAAAAAATATTGTTCAAGAATTATAAGGGAAGAAACTACAACACCTATGAGCCACTACAGTCAAGATGCCTGTTAGTTAGATATGCTAAAAGATCAGAAGCTGATTACCAGGGGGTTGTTGCTATGTTTTGTATAAGAAGGTTACAGCTCAATTCAGAACCCCTACCATATATCAAGAAGTAAAATTCTTTGTCCCAATGTGGATCACTGTATACTAAATTTTATTTTGACATTTTATGACATCTTCACTCAGTTTAGAAAATATTTTTTCAAAGCTCTTTAAGCATCTTTCCATAACCTTACTTGAATTAGTACTTTCAGATCATCATCTCCTTCACCGAGCCCCATTTTTTCTCTGGATTCTTCTGCCTCTTTAGCTTCTTGTTCTGCCTGAAACAGTAACAATATTGAAATGAACTATAAATTTGTTTCCAAATCAACATCATCAGCTGCAATTTACTTAACATTTAAGGAAATATTCCCACAGTAACAATTCTGTGAGTCAAGGTAGCCAAAGTCATACACAAACTTATGATAGAGTGAGGACCTGGACCTGAATCCCCAGGAATAAGTCCAAAACCTTAATTACTGTTTTAGTAATCTTCAAATAAACACACATTTATATTCTGTACATGTAAGGATTTATTGACTACTAATTTTAAATTAATTATGCTCTACCTTTACTTTCTAAAAATCATTAGGAAAAAAGACAATACAAAAGATAATGGGATTAGTCACCCTCAACAATTCTACCTTGATTTAAAAACATGAGGGTAATGATGTAAAGATAAATGCTGAATGCTAAAAACACTGATATATATTGAATGTCCCTTATATATATTTACTATTACATATTACACTGATATATATTTAAATATTTAACAGGTATATATTTAATGTAGATATATTTAATGCCATGTGTTACAAGCTTTATTAATAAATCTTATCACCAGTTAAACATACCTTCCTTTTCCTTGCATTTATCTTTCTCTTAGACTCATTTACAAAGGACTTATAAGATGGAAGTTCTCCAGAATCAATGGCATGTTGAATAATCTTTCTTATTCTTGGCTCATCTGTATAATCAACACATAGCACAGAGTTCATAATTTTGCCCATATTGCCTTTAAAGTCTTCATATGCTGCTTTAATGTCCTCCAGCTCTTCTGCGGAATCTTTGTATTTCTTTTCAAAATCTTCAATATCTTTTACAGTTATCTAGTTGATTAAAGAAAGTTAAATTCCATAAACATTTTTAACAAGCTCAAGTTAGAAATACTTATTTCCAATCCTAAATTCAGTTATTTAAAAGGTTTTTCCTATTATTCAAGCTTATTTGAACTAAGCCGTTATGAAATAGAAAGATACTCTGTAGAGTCTGGAAGCAGAGAAGACAGTCTTAACTTGAGTAAAATCAGCAATCTATTTAGTTCAGTAATGTAGCCAACTGACTGGAAGCAGCTCCTGTGAGCTTCAAGCTGAACATTTTCCAGTTCTATTTGGAGATGCCAGTGTTAAACCTGGGAAGTTCATATGCAAGACACATGTTCACTAGTAAGTTCAGGATTTCTAGGCTGAAGTTCAGAGTAAAGGGAACAAAATTGACAAGCTACTTGTATTTTGATAAAAACAGATTTAAAAATTAATAATTTCTGCCACTTACATACAATTCCAGAAAGATCAGAACTGCTTCTCTTTAATTATAGTCTTCATTAACTAAGCTTTTCCCTGATAGGGAAAAACGAAGTAATGAAAAAAGAACCAGTGATCTGCTTTAGCTATGATAAAAGCCCATCATAGAATGCATGTATTATACAAAGCTTACACAACAGTAAGATGTACAAAATGCTATCCTGGAAACATTAATTCTGGCAATTTAGTCATATAACTGGTATCCAGTGAAGACACCCACTTTTTTGAAAAGCAGCCTCCAGTATTCTTCCCAGTTATGATCTTGGGTCAGCACAGACGATTCCTCATCCACAATCCCTTGCTGATCATACAGAGCCCGCTGCTCCTTGTCACTTAATACTTCATACACCTTGCCCAGGATCTAGGAAGATACAAGACAAACCTCGATAATCCAGTAAATCGCCTGCTCCCTTCATCTTGCCTCTTCCAAAGGGCCTATTTTAGGATAAAGGATGTTATATTATCCTAATTCTTCCTAGTAGTAAGTCTGCTACTGAATATGTTATCATTTAGTAAATTAAGGCCACCCTAAATAAGCAGAATTTAAAATAGTAACTTTAAAAAAAACAAAAGAAACTTCAAAATACATGGATTGTTTTTTCTTTAGATATAACTTTTTATAAAAATAACATTTTTATTTATTGCAAGCGCTTTTATGCCACTTCAATCATTTGACTCTAAGCAGCCCACAATTCAAAGTCAAACACCGAAACCACAGGATGGTAATAATTAGGCAAGCCAGGCCACTACAGGCATCTTGTGAAAAGTTCCTGATGAAGCCAATTTATATTTCCCCTTGCTTCTTGTATGAGGTGAGGGGTCAGGAGGCTTAAATGTCTACATTTAGCTTATGACTGAGAGGCAGAGCCCTGGAAATCATTATAGCACGGTGGTTCTTAATCAGGGGTACAGCTACTACAGGTAGAAGTCAGAAATAGGTCATAGGATAAGCTACCCAAAATTTAGTCCTTAAAATTTACTTGTGGGATTAGCAAGCAGGAAACCTTAGAGGACAGTTCCTCTTCAAACCTTAAATAAGAATGCTTTTATGGGTCTGAAAATATTCCACCACAAGTTGGGCATATCTAGGATATTTCTCTTTTATGCCATAAGCTTGGAATGGCACAAAGGCGCTGCTTTTTCCTGCGCCCCAGCCCTGTGAGATTACATCAGGCCAACCTAGCCCGGGAATATCAGCTAAAAGAGTGGCCAAGCAGGAATTGCAACAGGGCTAATCACCACACTAGCTGGACCTCCAAGATTTATATTCTGCCCCATTTTTCGGAGCGGGGGACCCTTTCCTGCTACACCGAGGAGCAACGACTGGGAATGTTCCCCTTGCCAGACTCCTCTGCCTCGGGCAAGGTACCGCACAGGATGGGAAGAAGTCCCTTCCCTCGCCATCACCTGCGCCTGGGATAAGCTGTTAAGCTTTCCAATCTAGTCTTCTCCCTAACCACCAGGTCCAACCCAGTTTAGCTTTCTTTTGAGGTTAACCAAGGCTGTCACCTATTTAAGCAAGACTAAAGCTTCCCTCGAGTTCAACTTATGGCGGCCAAATGAAGATGTTCGCGTAGCTTGCCCCTGCTTCTTCCAGGATGCTTTTTTTTTTAAAGCTTCCCAGCGTAGCCTGCGGCCCTGACATTTCCTGGTGGTCTCCCATCCACGTACTGATCCAACATGACTTCTTTCCGCGGTCACAGCCAAGGTGCTCAGTCGGAAGACAAAGCGGCCCCGCGGCTGGGCTCTACCTGGAAATGCCGGGTGGCGCGCTCCTTATCAGCCAAGTCGGCGCGGTCCGGGTGTACCCGGAGGGAGACCTTGTGGTAGCCACGGCGGATCTCATTGGCCGACGCCTGCCGCCTCACGCCCAGCACCTGGTAGAGGTCGCCCGCCCCGAAGGCCGCCTGGCACAGCTCGAGCAGACCCATTACTTTTTTCGCGCCAAACAGCAACAGCGTTCGACTCGCTCGCGCGCACGCGCGGCTGCGGCTGAGGCTCCGCCGCCACTCCTTCCCTCTCTGCAGCGCATGCCCGGGTTTCCCGCCAGCCATGCCCTCTTTTATTTTACGGCGCGGGTTAGGAGGTGTCGTAAACAAAGGGAGCCGAGGGACAGGGAGCGTGAACGGTAGAGATAGGAACAGGTAGAGGCGCGCGCCAGCTGCCCAATCGATCCGGAGCAGTGCGCCCCGGAGGGGAAGCTGCATCAAAGTTCTCGCTTTCTAAGCAGTAATGTCGGGGAAGGGTCTGTCGCCCTTACCGCCGTGCGTTATCCCAGTTTAGGTCTACCAGACTAGAGTTTGCTTGCAAAAAGCTGGACGGCCGCTAGGTGAGAGCCGAAAGGTAAGGCTTGCCCGCCCGAGGTGATAGGCAGCCTATTTCACCTCGCCTTTTTCCAACCTGGGGCCGTCCGGGGCGCCCTCCCAGTGCTTCGTTTGCCGCTTTTCTTTTCGTGGTTTAGTTATTTCCTAAATAAGTAAGCAGTAATGGATTTTCTGGAAATGTCACCGAGGCCTTTGCAGTGCGAAATAACGATTTAATTACCCTCATCCGGAGCAGCGTAGGCGAATAGAATACTGTGAATCCAAGCGAATGTTTGTCGGAATCAAGTTGATTTGGGCTGCATCCATCCCCTTGAATGTCACTTAGGGGGAACTTTCCTGTGGTTTGGGTTTCAGTCTCTCTTGATAACTCAGCTTCAACACGCTTCTCCTTAATGGCTGCGCCTAACAAAGCAGTTTAGAGTAGTGTTTCTCACGGTTGGCAACTTTAAGGTGGGTGGACTTCAACTGAAAA